ATATATATATATATATATATATAGTCTAAATGTTTTTTTAATCTATTGCACTGTATTCACTTTATATGTTTATATGTTGGACTAGAGAGAAATGTCTTTTCAACTCCCCTGTATGTTCAGTACATTGTGGAATTGACAATAAAGCAAACTTTGAACTTTGAAAATCCTGAATATTGATGAAGTCTGTAATTAACGGTTCTGCTATCGGTACTTTAGAAGTTAAGGAGCGAGATTACACATCTTTTTATATATGTTTACATTCTATGTATTTTTTGTGGTATGGCTTGTTGCAATACTGTTATGTTGGTCTGGTCTGACATCTATTGTATCAGATATTTTTACTTATCTGAATCGGGGGTTTGAAATGACAGCGATGTCTTATGTTGTACAGATTGTAAAGCCATCTGAGGCAAATTTGTGATGTTTGGGCTCTATAAATAAAATTGACTGGCCTTCATTGACAGTTGGACACAAATTGGGTTTTAACATGGTAATTTATTTACTTATTTTCCTTCGTGTTTAATTAGTTGTAATACATTTTTTGCGCACTGGGTGGCAAGTACTTATAATGGGACTGCATTTATACAGCAAAGGAATGCAGCCTGGGGAGGCACACAGTTTTTGACCTTTGCTATGGTGTCAGCAGGTAGCATAGCATACTTGGTTGCAAAAGTTGAGTTGGAAGAAATAATGTAAAGGCAAACAGCAAATGTAAAGACTGGATATCGTTGGGTTGTGCATTAAGCCCAAGGTGCGCGTCAGCTAAAGTTAGCCGACATAGCAGCAACAAAGTGACTGATGGGAAGCCACTTTAAACACATTTCCAGTTTGTCTCGTATATTTAGCCATTTTACAAAAGGAGCTATTTAGTATATGTCTGTTGCACCATGGAATCGTTTTCTTAATGTATTGTGTGATCATCATTTCTGTACAAAATAAAGTGTAGGTGCCATAAACCATGGTCTCTTAAAAATGATGTTCCCATACAACTAAACATATTGGTTAACGCTGTGAAAAAACAACAAAACTTAGTTTTAGTAAAAGAAAAGTAAAAAAAAAAAAAAGAATTGTTTGTTATGTAACTTACATAAACAATGTTATGAACAACAAACGTTACATGCGTAACGTTAAACATAACATTAAAATAAGTCAATGCTAACTTTTCATTTTGCATGGGACAACGGCAGCGGTCTACTGGGTGAAAGTCCCGTGTTTTTGGACCCATCTGTTTCCCTCAAAATGTAAATGACAATGCATTTTGTTGTATGAGAACGTAGTTTTTAGGAGACCAGGCTGAAAGAAATGTGTTTTGAGCGTGTGGAAAGATTTAGTGAGAGTTGGCAGAAAGTCTTCACCATTCACCCAAGGTCTACTTGGTATGGTCCTGTACCCAGTGACATAGTCTGAAGCAGTACGTTTGTGGACTGACGGTAGAGAAGGACCGGCCTGGATGTCTCAGCCTCTTCCACAAATGCTCCAGCCTCTTCTTACAACTGTAAACTGTGAAAATGTCAATGATGCCGATGAAGTAGCGCTGCTCAGGCCCATCAATGACGTGCAGAGGATTCTTTAGGTTTGGCAGTAAACGTCGGTTTTGGGCCCTGAAGTCTGGAAGATCAGCTTCGTCACTGCCTGGCCCTGAATGCTCTGGGCATGTTTGAATAGTGCCAACACCTGATGCAAGTCTTGCTTCTAATTGCTCCAAATTTAAGGTGGAGTCATCTTCTAGAATTGCCCCAGGGACAGGAGCTATGCCTGCGTGGATAGGGGGGGAGCCTGGATTCACAGATCTAAAATGAGAAAGTTACAGGGGAGATAAAAAAAAGGTGTGAGTGACAGCAATTACTCCATGTAGCCTCATTCACATTACATATGTTGTGAATTATTCATGGTCAGAGACGATAAAGTTTATGCGCTTTTATTGTGAAACTGTATTTGACGTTGCGAACTGCTTCCGCTTCCGGTTGTGCAAACCGTAGATCCTACGTAGGACCAATGGTTGAATCAGATCGAGTCATTGACGATGTAAGTCATAGAACTGTAACTCTGAACCTATGTGGCGTAACTGTTCAGTTTGTAGTTGTACTTAATGTTCTTAAGTGCATTTACTGTCAGTAAGTGTTTGTCATAATAATAGCCCAAAGTTGAGCTAAGTGGCTAACCTGGCTAGCGATCCTGTATTCCTGTAAATGTATGTGTGTTTGCTTTAGTTAAGAGTTTACAATTGCTAATACTTCGGTTCTGTAATTCGTTTTCTGTGTTTATTTCAGAAACTCGGTCAACATTGTTCAAACTCATTCAACATCTGTAAATCTGTCACCAAACTATAAAACTGTATGCCAGACTGAATACAGAAACGTATGGACCAAACAGATGTCTGCGTGTTCTCTGACCGGAACCCTATAGTGGTCAATAATCACCTTTACACCAGTCTCTCAGGGGTCGAATCCCCAACAACATATTTGTTGTAAAGGAATCTAGACATGTGTATCGAGAGGCAGATGCCCTAATGTCAGGAGGAGGAAAAAGTAACTAGGATGTACTTAATCTGATGTGATTGGGCAAATCAAATTACAACAATTAAGATGTAGTATGATTTCCAAAGCAAAGGCACACATTTTCAAATTAAGAAATGTTTAGCTTCATACACAAAAGAACGAAAACAGACCATGAATTATTTTGGCTGTATGACTATCCATCCATTCTCTCCCTCTTAGGGTTTTCGAGACAGCAGGCTAAGCAAGGTATTCCAGACGTCCCACTCCCCAGCAACATTTTCCAGCTCTTCCTGGGAAACCCCTTGCCGTCCCCAGGCCAGATGAGCTATATAATCCCTACAGCGTGTTCTGGGTTAACCCCGTGGCCTCTTACCAGTTGGCCATACCTGCAATACCTCTAAAAAGGGACTCACCCAGGAGGATCCTGATCAGATGCCTGAACCACTTTAGCTGGTTCCTTTCGGTGCGGAGCACAGCAGCCCCATCTCTAAAGTGCTACTACTTTGCTTTAACAGTATTTATGAACGCTGGAAAGTTTTAACTAAGGTGGCAAAAAAATCTGTAACAAAACAGGATCCCAGAAACATCCGACAACAACATATCAGCACTATTCAAAGCCAAGGGAATTATCTGAACTGAATATTGTCTGATGAATACCGAAGGTTTGACAGCCCAGCTCACGAAATGTGCCCCAAGATTGTTGCACAGAACGCTCAGTCTCAAATTCAAGGAACAGAGGAGGAACTGATTTGGCCGGATGTAAGCTCTGTATTTGCATCTACGATTTCCAGTGTTTCATTTCCAGACTAAGTGTTCTAAGGCTAATTCCATTGCTCTAATGTATCCTCAAATAAAAGACAAGAAGCTTCTGCCGAGTATGCAGCCACGCAAGATGTATTGAAGATTATGGCTGAGCAAGAGTGCCACAAACAGAAACTGCAAAGACTTGAAGTTGAGGACAAGCTGATAGTTGCAGACCAAAAAGCAGCTGCATGAAGTCGCCATCTTCAAGGAGCAAGGAAAGTGACTGAACATAGGATAGAAAAGGAAAGACTAGAGGCTGCTCTCTTAAAGAAACCGCAAGAAGAGAATGCTGTGAGAAAATCGTCTGCAGAAGACTTGAAAAAAGAGCTTGAGGGTTTGGAGAAGTTAAAAAGGCTGAGGGCAGCCAGAGCAAGGCTTCAAGTCTATGATAAAAATGAGTTCTATCCAGACCAAGGACTTACACTACATAAATCTAAACTGCCTACAGTTGAACACGCAATTAATCAGGGTAACCCTGCGTATCAGCACCCACAACCACTAAGAGATATGGCTCCAAGAAGTGCGCTTCAAAACGAAATGGGAGAGCTTGTCCTGGCTGAGGCTATATTAGCAAATAGTCTAGCCATTCCAGAGCATACAATCTTTAGTGGGGATACACTCAAATTAAATCATTGGAAGTTGCCCTTTCAGAAAGTAATTGAGATGAAAAGTATTATAACTGCAAAGAAAATCTTCCTTCAGAAACATGTTAGAGGAGTAACTAAAGAGGCCTTAGAAGGTAATTTTCTGATTGATTGAGAAGATTCATATCATGCAGTATGGGATCTGCTCAATGAACGATATGGCGAGCCTTTTTAATTCAATTCAATGAATTTTGTATAGCCCAAAATCACAAATCTGCCTCAGAGGGCTTTAGAATCTGTACACATGCGACATCCTCTGTCCCAGGACCCTCACATCGGAAATTGTAATTACCAAAGCCTTCCGAGACAATGGCCAGATTGGTGAGATTTTTGAAAATGACATGCCAGGCCAAAAATAGCCTCTAGGGAGAGTGCTGAGTTAAGAAAATGTGTGGACTTTTTACATAGTTGTGAATCTGATTTGCTCACAATGAGAGTCTAAAGGTTCCTAATGATGGAATTGAGAATCAAAAACTTCCTGCCAAACTACCCGATTGGTTAACCAGATGGGTCCGAATGGCTACACAATACCAGCTGGAACACAGAAGGTTCCCAAGCTTTAATTATTTTGTGACATTCCTAACAATGGAAGCTATGGTGCAATGGAAGCAATGGTGCAACCCTATAACATCTTACCGTGCATTACGGCAAAGTAAACCTGAAAAAGCAAAGATCAAGAATCAAATCATAGTAGTTTCCAAGAACCAAACTGTAGTTGCAAAGATCTTCCCAACCGACACAAGTGAAAGAAGCATGGTCACATGTGTGTTGACATTGAAAGGCCGAATCAAGTTCATTCAGAGTCAGACACTGTGCTTCGGCTGTTTGAGACTTGGCCATCAATCCAAGAGCTGCAGTAGCTGGATGGTGTGTGACACCTGCTCAAAAGATCATCCCACATGCCTACACGAAGATCACTCGAAACAAAAACCATAGAGAGAACAATCTCAATAAATAAGTTATAGCAAGGAAAGAAAGCCACAGAAAACACAACTACAAGACGTTATCAATGATGTGTCAACGTTAAGTGATTCAAGCAAGGAAGATTCACAAAGTGACTCTTCAATCATTCTTGAAAACGTTCTAGATACGAACACAGAACAAGTGAAGCTGAAACAATCTACATTGTCATTGAAAAAGACAATTGTACTGTGTAAAAGACTCAAAGGCCAACAAATAAGAGGGCTATTCTTCTCTAAGAAGATCACAGTGCCGACAACTTACATTTGTGAATTCATCGCTCTGGAGCATCTTGCAGAACAGATTGTCCCGCCAAAGAAATGTGAAGTTGGTCTGCTGATCAGGTACAATTGCCCTCAAGCGCTAAAGCCTAGAGAAGTTGTATGTGGGGTGGAAAACCAACCCTTTGCGCAGAAAACCGATCTAGGTTGGAGCATAGTGAGTTATGGTAATCCAGGCGAGCACTACCGTGATGCAATAGAAGTAAGTCACCGCATCATTGTAATGCAAGTGATGCCTGAACCCAAACCCACAGTCAAGCTCAAAGGTGAAGTTCACTATGTTTGCAAGACTCGGATGAAAGAAATGATCAGTCAAGATGATGCCATGAAGGTGCTACTATCTGATTTCAGTAAAAGAGTTGAAGAAGAGGCAACTATCTCTCCGGAAGATCTCCACTTCTTGACTAATCTGAGAGATTGAATCAAACAGAAAACATGATGGTCATTATGAAATGCCCTTACTTTTCAAACAAGACCAGAAATACTGCTCAGGCTACGTGAACTTAATGAAAGACATCATTGCTCGTGGTGATGCAGAGGGTCCCATAAAAATAATTCAACAATCAACCAGTCTGGTATATTCCCCATCCAGGGTAAACCACCTTCCAAAGCCTAGGAAGATTTGTGTCGTCTTCGATTGTTCAGCAAGGTTCTAAGACACATCATTGAATGACCACTTTCTTACTGGGCCAAAGCTCACAAACACCTTGGTGGGAGTTCTTTGTAGGTTTCACAAGTGCCTGATTGCTATAGTGTGTGATGTGGAGTGAATGTTCAATCAGTTTCATGTAAGACCTGAAGACCAAGACTACCTGAGGTTTTTAATGGTAGGAGAATGGGATCAAACTATCTGTTTGGGGCAGGCTCCTCACCCGGCTGTGCCAATTTTGATCTTAAACATCTAGTCGTTGAAGGTCAGGTTCAATTTGAAGCAAAACACTTCATCCAAAGTAAATTTTATGTTGACGATGGACTGGTGAGTGTTACATCTGATGCTGAGGCGATCCATCTTTGACAAGGAAGCAATAGGGCATTGAAGTGCAGGCAATGCTAAAACTACATAAGTTAATTTCCAATAGCAAGAATGTATTGAAATCAAAAACCTGGATATGGCTTTGGGAGAGCCGCTCATGGAAATAACCTTTTATCTATACTGCTGTCACAGGTTAATCTCTGTTTACCATTTACAGCAAGTATGGTTTCATGCCACTGTTAAACCACAGAATTACAAAAAAAAAAAAAAAAAAAACTACAAAAGTACATAGCAATGTTAAGTTGCAGTTTCTCTTTCACAGCACAGTTAGTCTAACAAAACAGTCTTCTTTCACTACCCTTTTATATGGCCCACAGCTCAGACCAATTCACCTCACTCAGTATCTTTGCCTCACATCTTTGCCGCAAAGCCTTCCCTTCGATGCCGCCCTGGGGAAGCTTTTGTCTTTGTCCTGCTGAATTTACAGTACATGTCTATTATAGACCACATCCTGTAATTTTAACATGGTTAAAATACCACCCAGAACAATGAGTTAAATTACTGAGGAAAACAGGAAACATTTCATTTGCCAAATCCCGCCTGTAATGTTAGTCCCTCCAGAATGGACCACAAAACCACAAAAGCAGGGTGACAAAATGTTGGGAAACCCAGTCATGAAATGTCAAATAAACGACTTAAAGACACTGACATTTTGGTTCTCATGATGAGAGTAGCAAAGGAGAGGCTCTGGTGGCATTCATCGTGGTGTAAGGGCTGATGGGCCAGGAGGAGACTGTAGTCCAACACATTGAGCCTCCAGAGGAAGTGCGCGTCGATCTCTACCTGCCTCAAAAGCCAGGGACGCTGCTGGTCTGCACACATAAACACACCACATAACACTACAACTCAAACATGGCTACACAGAAACACACAGCAAACGTATGCAGCATGTTTAATATATGGATATTACCACTGGCATTTACACATACCATTGTTTTTTTAAATTTGAATTAGATGTTTTCCCACAGTTCATCTAAGATAGATGCATTTTCTTGTTGGAAACGATATAGTGATTGACATGAAGGGGATTCAGTTATGCTTCCCGTACTACTACACAGCTTCTTATGACTCCCAGCACACAAACATCCCATTGCTTTTCCTTACCCAAGATGACGTACTGGCCTTCAAAGTTGAGGTCTTTGAGAACCACAATAATCTGGCTTCCCTCTGGTGCTGGCTCTGTCCGCCGACTCACCTCACAGCCCTTAATGTCGTACCTGCAACACAAAACCGACATCAAATAACACAAGGAGGCTGCACTGTCTGTTGCTGTGCTGTTAACACAGTAATACTATGCTTTTTTTTCTGGGGGCAAGCAGATCAAGCTTACCTGGAATTGATTCGATCATCAGGATAGAACACACTTTGCATAACAATGAAGTATTTCTGCAAAGGACATGTGAAAAAAGGAAATATGCTTTATTACACTTTGTAACATCCATATATTTTAATGCTAGAACAGTAACACATTTTGATCTGTACCTTACGTCTGCGTGTGATTTTGATCCTGTGAACACCTTAAAAAAAAGTGAGAAATAACTCAGTCCAATGCAATATATTATCTGAAATATTGTTAAATTATAACATTTGTTATCATTATACATCCAGCAGACACAGAGTAACATTAGTATTCATTATTGTAACGGGTATAGTAAGGACCCAGGAGCAGGGGCAGAGGCAAGGCGGGGCAGTCCAAAACAGGCAGGGTCGGCAACGGGGAATCAGTCCAAGGGTATTTGCTGGAAGGTCTTGCATAGAAGCGGAGAACGATCTGGCAGTGAGTGTGTGTGAGACTGGGGTCTAAATAGTGGGTGCAGCACAGTGAGCAAGTGAGAGTGATGAGCTGATGAGGTGCGTGTGACTAGCAGGTGCACTGAATGAGCTGACTAGGTGAGTGAGAGATAGAGTGACAGGATAGAAGTGGCAGAGCTGTGACAGGATACATGGAACATGGAGTGGATGCGCATGGATTTGCGGAGCTTGAGCCTCACTGCCGCCGGGTTGATAATCCTCTCGATCTCGAAAAGGCCCGCTGAATCTTGGGCCGACTTTCTTGGACTCTACCCGCAAGGGTAGATCCCGGGTCGACAACCACACCCTCTGACCCACCTGGTAGATGGGGGCTGGAGTGCGGTGTCTGTTAGCTGCTGTAGTGTAGCACTCAGCAGACCGGAGCAGGGTTGCTCGGGCCCTTGCCCAGGTCTGGCGGCAGCGGTGGATGAAGGTCTGGACTGAAGGGCAGGAAACTTCCTTCTCCAACGCGTGGCCCTCAGATGGTGGTAGCCCAGTGACAAAGTCCAGGGAGATGTGGGACCACGGACAATGAGGCACTGGGATGAGTCTGCAAGAGGCCGGCTGGTCAGAGCCTTCTCACCAGGCGGTGAGAAGGCTTGTATTGATTGCAAACTGGGCAGGCATTGATGAATTCCCTGGTGTCCTCGTTGAGCAAGACCCACCAGAAGCACTGCCGCAGAACGTCCTGGGTCCTCTGGATCCCCGGGTGGCAGGTAAGTCTTGAGGAGTGGGCCCACTGGAAGATCTCGGACCGAAGACCCTGAAGGACAAACAGGCGATTAGGGGGACACGCGCTGGGACCGGCTTGACCCCTAGTCGCGACCTTCACTGATTCCTCAATCTCCCAGTCGAGGACAGGGACTTGGCAGGAGGCAGGAAGGATGGAAGAGGAGCCAGAGGTAGGTTCCTCCTCCCCTGGAACTGACGGGAAAGGGTGTCAGGCTTGGTTTGACATTACGGGACCCGGGGCCGATAGGAGAGAGTGAAGTGGAACCGTGTGAAAAATAGAGACCACCTGGCCTGTCGAGAATTGAGTCTCGTGCATGCGTATGTACTCAAGGTTCTTATGGTCGGTCCAAACCAGGAATGGGAGATTGGTCCCCTCCAGCCAGTGGCGCCACTCCTCCAGGGCCAGCTTCACTGCTAGTAGTTCCCGGTTGCCAATGTCATAGTTTCTCTCGGCGGGGGAAAGCCGACGAGAGAAAAAGGCGCAGGGATAGAGCTTCTGGTCAGCGGCAGAGCGTTTGGACAAGACACCCCCAACCCCTATGTCGGAGGCATCTACCTCCACCACAAATTGTCTGTCAGGATCCGGGAGTCGGAGGATGGGTGCGGAGGTGAACCTGGACTTCAGCTGCAGAAGTCCAAAGGAAGGGAATCTTGGAGGATGTGAGGGCAGTGAGTGGGAAAGTGACAGAGCTGTAATTCCTGATGAACCTATAGAAGTTGGCGAACCCCAGGAAACATTGAAGCTGCTTGCGGGAGTTTGGGACAGACCAGGTAGTGATGGCAGCAACCTTTGCGGGGTCCATATTGATGCTGCCCTGGGAAACGATATATCCCAGGAATGAAACCGTGGGAACGTGAAAATCGCACTTCTCCGCCTTCACAAAAAGGGAGTTCTCCAGTAGGCGTTGAAGCACGGACTGGACGTGGTGCACGTGATCCTTAGTTCTTGGAGGAGATCAGGATGTCATCGAGGTAGACGAATACAAACCGGTCCAACATGTCCCAGAGTACGTCATTCACCAGGGCCTGGAAGATGGCGGGGGCGTTGGTTAAGCCGAAGGGCATCACAAGGTACTCGTAATGTCCTTTAGGTGTGTTGAATGCCGTCTTCCACTCATCCCCCGCTCTGATCCGGACCAGGTGATAGGCATTGCGGAGGTCGAGCTTGGAGAAGATGGTGGCTCCTTGAAGTAACTCAAAGGCTGTCGCGATGAGTGGCAAGGAGTACCGGTTTTTGACCGTGATCTCATTTAAGCCCCGGTAGTCGATGCAGGGTCTGAGGGTCTTGTCCTTCTTCTCCACAAAGAAAAATCCAGCCCCTGCGGGATGCGACGAGGGGCGGATGAGACCGGCGGCCAGGGAGTCGTTAATGTAATTGTCCATCACCTCTCTTTCAGGAGCAGACAGGGAATAGAGGCGCCCCTTAGGTGGGAATGTACCAGGATGGAGGTTGATGGCACAATCTTAAGGACAGTGGGGAGGCAGAGACATGGCCTTGGACTTGTTGAAAACCTCCTTAAATTTCAAGTATTCAGCGGGAATCCCCGTAAGTTCAGGCATGGAACTGATGAGCGAGGCACCCCGTGGTGCGGCGGCTTGTTTCAGGCAGACTAAATGACAGGACTGGCTCCAACGCCGAAAAGCCCCCGTAGTCCAGTCGATGTGAGGATTGTGTCGATGCAGCCAGGGGTATCCCAGAATGAGGGGGATACAAGGGGTTTGCAGAATGTGGAAACTGATGGTCTCGTGGTGGTTGCCGGACAGCAGCATGTGGACTGGAACAGTTTGGTGTGTCACCGTCCTCAGAAGATGACCGTCAAGGGCGCTGGCTGGAACAGACTGGGGAAGAGGTATCCGGTCGATCCCCAACTGTGCCGCAAGTTCCTCGTCCATAAATGACGCGTCTGCTCCTGAATCCAGGAAGGTGGAAATAGTATGGGAGCCCCCGGGTAGCAGTAGCTTGGCGTGAAATAGTGGTCGTTGGCAGACGGAGGGTCGGGAAACTGCTCGGCTCACCAGTACTTCCTTGTTTACTGGTGAGCCCGGGCTCTTAACGGGCAGATGGGTCGGCTTATACTCAGGGGCTGTTGAACGAGGAAGGGGAGAAGGTGGCCCCTGGCTTGGCTGTTCCCGGCGCCGCCTGGCCTGGATGCGACGATCCAATCTGGTGGTTCTCGATAAGCCCGTCCAGGGATGTGGGTAGCTCGAATGAGATTAGTTCGTCTTTGACTTAATCTGCTAGACCGAGCAAATATGCGTCACACTGGGCGGCCATGTTCCATGAACTTAATCGTGCCTTGGTCCGGAAATCAAAGGCATAGTCCGCGACAGGTTGGTGACCCTGCTGAAGCCACATTAGCCCTTCGGTGACATCCGGTCCCCTGGACACCACCCCGAAAAACTTGCGTAGTTCGTCGGAGGACTGGAAGGAAGCACAGGCAGAGTATGATGATCCCATTCCGCCGTTCCCCACAGGCGAGCTCTCCCCATCAGGTGGTTGATGGTGAACGCCACTCTGGCATCCTCTGAAGTGAAGGTCTGGTGTTGCAACGCGAACAGGATGGAACAGTTCGTCAGGAATGCGTTGCAATCCTCAGGATCCCCAGCGTAACGTTCCGGCTCCCCTACCCGGGGGTCCGAGACCGGTGTTGAACGTGCTGGTTTGGCCCCAGAGTGGACCGAAGCAGGTGACGGCGACCACGCCGCGTTGGTCTGAGTTGTGGCTGTACCTGGTCAATCAAGGTGGTCAGGATCTGGTTCTGATTCGCCAGAGTGTGGTGAACCTCGGCGGTGTTGGTGACCAACAGGGTCTTGTGTCGCTGTATCGCCTCTTCGATCAACACGAACCGGGCCTGTGATGTGGTGTCGTATGCTGGGTCCATGTTATGGCCAAATCGTACTGTAACGGGTATAGTAAGGACCCAGGAGCAGTACGACAAACACCAGGGATAGTTTTAATGAACACTTTATTTTCCTCTGGACACAACAGGTAGAAAATCACAGGGAAACAGCGGCAGCATCTCGTGGTCGGGGACAGAAGGCTGAGTGAGTTACCGGGGCAGAGGCAAGGCGGGGTAGTCCAAAACAGGCAGGGTCGGCAACGTGGAATCAGTCCAAGGGTATTTGAAACGAAAAATGAGTAATGGCCTATTAGTGCCACTGCTATGCATAAACATACCTGTTATCTTGCATACAAAACTGAACAATTAAAATAATGGAAAGATTCATGTTTTTTGGTCGAGTTACAAAACGATCCATTTTCGCTCATAACAATGTCCATGCACTTGACACAATAATATACTGGTCTCAGTAGTTGGCTGTTGTGGATAGGAGCTGCAGTGTTTTAGCCAGGAATATCTTGCAAAAATGATTGCACAAGGATTCGTTGTTGAAGTATCTTCTTTTCAAATAATATTGCAGCGTGCGTCCTTGTGTCTGGGATCTTAGTCAGCTGGGGACTGAATAGGCTCTCAGTCAATCACGGGGAACCTGACAGAGCCAGCATGTAACATGCGGCCTCGTGATTGGCACAGCAGTGATGGGGGCGGGTTCTCTTCTTTGTGTGCAGGAGGCTTGGAGGGACAGGTCCAGGCTAGTCTTGCGCCGACAGTGAACCGGTGCCCAGCTTGAGAGAGCTCCTGTGTGTTGCTGAATGTGTGCGTTTCTGACTGAAATATAACATATTCTGCCTCCATTTATCCATTCGTTACAATATATTGGATTCATGTTAGTGTATTTAAAGACATTTAAATTTGTGAAAAAAAGAAAATGTGTCTAATCAACCAAAAATGTTACGACCCCCCTGCAGTACCTTCGCAGACCCCCTGTTGAAGACCTCTGATATAGATAAATATATAATTCAAAAGACAGGATAAGAATCAATAATAATATGTATTATAATTGTATATGTATGTCTCTATATTTCAATGGTGGTGTAGATTCTGATACAAACAAGGTTGTGTTTAAACTACGATTGGCGGTGTTTCAGATGTGTGAAGCCTTTATCAGTCCATGTGTGGAAATTTTGTAGTATCTTGTTGCTCAGAAAATCAGGATTGTTCCAGCTAGGAGTAATATTAGATGGTGCAAAAGTAGTGTTTGGGACTTTGTTAAATTTTCAACAGGCTTTCAGAGTTTCTACTATGTTTTGAAACAAGGATGGCGTTTGATAGGCTGGAGAAATGGTAAATCTGAAATCGAATGCCTTTACAAACTGTTTGTTCTCTGTATAACCATGTGTTATCTGACTGATTTGGGTGGATCCATTTAAAAATGTATTGAAGTTGATTTGCTAAAGAGTAATGGAAAAAAAGTGGGGCTTCAAGTCCATCTTGTGTTTTTGGTTTTTGAAAGATGTGGCCCGTTACATTTTTGGTGTCTTATTTTCACAGTACAAATGAGTAATAATCAAGAGATTTGAACCAGAAGAGGGTGGGTTGCGATGGAATCATTTATTTTAAGAAATCATTTTAACTGTAGCTATTCTTGACAGGCGTTGGCGTTGTGTGCTTGTCAGTATCACTATCACAAATCGACATTTTTATCCAGTTTTAAGCCACATGTTATACTACACTTCTAGATCATAGAGGTTGTTTTGATCCATACATTTTTAACCAAGCGCACAATGTTAGCCATCACATTCTAGACTTTTTAAGAGTGCATTTGCTACTTGACTTGTTTTTTTTTTTTGGATCAGCTGTCACCTCTGCTAAAACCAGAACAAGGCTGTGGGCTCCATGTTAGAGCCCCTGCGTGTAAGGTCCTGTGACCTCCCTTTCAGCGGCTGCTACCACCTACTACTGGTTGCTAAACTTTAAAACGTTCATGCACGTTTAGCACTGAACTGCCATTTCAGTTAGTAATTCCTAGTGCTCTGCTTTAGTTAGATATCTGGGCCAAATACAGTTTATTATTGGTGTGTGTGTCTGTGTGTGGTGTGTGTACCTAGGAACTTGACCAGCAATGAATGGGGGAACTTCTTCAGATGTTCCATGTAGATCTTCAGGTTGGCCAGAAAGAATTTGATTTCCCTTTTGTTCTGGGTCTTCAAGAAGAAGCGCTTATCATTTCTAGAAGTCCAAAAGCACAGAGGAAATAGATTTCTATCCTCTCAGTAACAAGAAGCCACACTCGGACCCTTAAATAAAGTGTTGTTATTTTGATTCTATATTTTATCTTAGCTTAACCAATTCCAAACAAAATATTGGAGGTATTCATTACATTGGTCATTCAGCTATGAGTTGCAACAACTTGCTTTCTTAAACTGTGAGATAATAGAAGCAGCTGTTGCACACCAAAGTACACCTCTGTCATTGAGCATGTGTAAATTGAGTTATTCCTGTGCAAGGTGTCAGGTTTAGAGTTATGGTTAGAGATACATTCAGGGTTGGAGGCTAGGTAAATAGGTCTGTGATGACTCACGTCAGGAAGAAGTCTGCCTTGCTCTTGGAGTTGCTGATGAACTGGAGGTAGCAGTTTTCAGAGCAGAGCGACTGCTGATATTCCTGCTCAGTCATTCCTAAAGAGCCACGCAGGCTGGCAAATACCGGGCCTGCAAATGTCTTCATTGTAAAGTCCTACAGACACACACATACACACACAAACAACTAAATATGCAGGTGGAAGCATTCCACACAATAACAAAGTTGAGTTCTGTTAGTTACTGAGACACATCCACCTACCTTATGAATCCAAGTGGTCTCTAATCTGTAATCATCATCTGACAGTTCATTCTAAGGTGGGAACAAGAGGAAAGATGTCATTGAGAAAGGCCTAATTATGTATTAACTAAGCTTAACAATAATATCTATAAATATATATCATGGATACTGATAAAAAAAATCTAATTCAGAAAGCTATGCTACAACAAGCAACCATGAATAATTGTTGGCAAATGTAATCAGAATCATAAACAAACTTAAACAATTATTAAGCCATTATTATTTCTACCGGTTAGACTATAATGTTGTACCGCAGGTCTGCATGTGGTTTGTCCAAGTGATGTTGCCGTGCCCCAGCAGAAGCTGTTGCTCGACTTATCACATGCAAGCGCCTGGTTATTATGTGCGTGGGTTGAGACTAATTGACTAAAGAACTCACGTCTACAGCATGGTTTCATAAAAGAATAGAAGAATTTCATTGTTTACAAAATGGCAACCCAAGACAAGGAGCTGCTGTGTTTATTAATCCCGCCGCAATAGAAAAGAAAGGGGAGGAGGTGGTCCGTACAGACACTAAATAAACTAGCCCCATTCCACTGATATAAGTGAAATTTCCCTCCAGAAATTTTAGGCCATCTGGCTATTTCTATGATTTTTCATTGAGTAGTTGTACAGATGCCTGTGCTTCCTCACTTCTTCCACTGGCAGCTCATGGAAATTCTCTATTTCTCCACCCATGCACTAACACGTAGTTAGGAAATGTTGGATTGCACAACAGGCAAAACAAGACACTTGCAACCCCCGCAGAAACATGAATCTCAGTCACTCTTGTCACAGTGCAGCTGACTAAATGGTCTGTACTTGTATAGTGCTTTTATAGTCTTCCAACCACGAGTTAGCTAGCTTGCTAAATCCACCATGCTACACTGGTTAAAGAAAATCAGCCTAACAGTGGACTGCTAGGTCCAACGATCCCTCCGCCTCACTTCCTGACGCTTTGGAGCCAGACAAGCCAACATTACGTAGCTAACTAGCCAGCCGTCCGTCTACGGAGCTGTGTAGGTTCTCTTCTCTGCTAGTTGCAAAAACACTTTATGGCCCACTGATGTCACCGTAACAACTAGCAACTATCGCCATTTTCTTTTGTAATAGTCAAATGACCACAGACGACAGTTCAATGTCCATTCTACTTATATTCTGGGCTGAACACATAGCCTTTGTGGATGGTCCTCTGGTGGTGCCGAAGGAGAACTGGATGGTAACAAGTCTTTTGAAGAAAGGATTGGCTTCAGTATACCAGCTGAAGGAACTGCAGCATCAACGAATCACACATTAGGTAAATAGGGCATGGCAGACAGCAATAGGATGACGGCTGACCTGGTGGACAGGAAGATGACTTGTGTTGTGATGATATAAATGGAACAGCTTGCTGTATTGCTTGAGAGACAGCTGGAAAGGTAGACATGAAGTAGATGACCCAGCTGTGGGATAAATATTTGGAAGAGAAATAAGGAAAAGATGACCTATCAACGCTAAATACCAAACCCTCATTGTTACTGAAAATTCTTTCATGATTCAACCTGAATCAGCTAAATCAGTGGGCATCTTTCCTTTTACTGTCAAGCTCATGTCTCTTTTGTTCCTCTTGTGTTAATACATATTCATGGTTCCAGCTGTTCCATTGTACTTTTATATAACTATATATTTCACTTGTTTTATCACTAATAGTATTCAATCTATCCAAATACAGCAGTTTGGCATCATTTTGAGAGCCTAAATCCTCTCTGAGCCTGTGAACCATGGATCCATCCTCGTCTGACTGCTGTTTTCCTGTGTGTATGTGAGGCTTTCTCAGCCTATGATTGGTCAATTTCAGTCAATGACACCTCCTTCCAGTGTTGCCAACTTAACGACTTTCTCGCTAAATCTGGCGACTTTCCAACTTCCCTTGGCGACTTTTTTTTATCAAAAGCTATTAGCGACAAATCTAGCGACTTTTTCTGGTGTTTTAGAGACTGACGTGAAAGCACGAATCGTTCTGCAGTTACTGTCCTCAACGAGCAGCGGGTGCTGCCGAAAAGCCCCTCCGCCGTCCCAAAGCACTCAAAGGTGGTCAGTCTCACAGTAGCCCCTCGCACAGCAGTCCCAGCTGCAGAAAGAGGAGACCCACACTCTCCGCGTCCAGACTGCAAATGAAATGCGCAAAGCCGCCGCTGTTCACGCCTCTCTCCTACAGCATCCATTACAATTATGCAAATTAGACTATGACGTCATTTAGCGACTTCTAGCGACTTTTAGGACAGCCAATAGCTACTTTCCTTACTGAGGAGTTGGCAACACTGCCTCCTTCGACGCGTCAGAGTCTCAAGAAGACAGTAGGCGTAAGCTGGACAGAATCGTTAGCCAGTAAAAATCAAAATGCGCCGTGCCACGCCGAGCGTAAAAACAGATACGCCGAAAGTGAAATCCCTTCCCCCCTGGTCCCCCATGCTTGTCTGACCCCCCTTTCCTTCAGGAAACAGTTCAAAAACACACAGGATATATGTAGCAACAGTGTTTTTAGCGGGAACCGGAATATTATTCTTTTGTCTTCATGATTCTCAAAGTAAGGGGCATTTATGATTTTTTCTGCGGTGGAGCGGCTTGTTCTTCTGGTGCTTGTTGGCTGTATCTAGTCTGCAATCTAGTCTGATATATTTAGCCGCTCGTTCGTTGTTTGCCAAGTGGCGACCGTAGGAGATACAATGTACAGCTTATTCAGCACGATGCCTTATCATTGCATGTTTCTTACTAGCAAAGCAATGTTTGTACAAAGGTTTCAGAAATGATGCTTAGTTACTCTCTTATTTCTGGTTTGTATTTGTTCATATTAGGCATCTACTATACATCTATGCTGACATGTATGGTACAACAACCTGTTACTTTATACAAAGGTTTTTATTATTTCATGTATATCTTTCAGAACCACACACTTGCTTGTTTGACTACTGTCAATAAACCTCTCTAAGGAACATCTTGTCTGGTGTGCATTTAACAAGGAAAGAAGAGGAAAGCAAGTGAGGTAAAGGAAGTGGTGAAGAAATAATATAAAATAGGGCTCTTAACTTCATTATTCATACATGAAATGTGTGCTTCTCAGCAGCAGGATCCTTGAGAGCTGGGATAAAATACTGAATAAACGGTTTGAAAGGAAATATCTAATTATTATTATTATTATTATCAGGCAATGAGTGTAAATTGATGGCTAAAGCATTTGATCAATGATATGTTTTCCTTTAATTAACGGGTAAAGCATACATCTCAAGCCACAGTATGTTCTAGGTAGAAGGTGTGTGTTGTGTTTTTTGGGGGCTCTGCAGATACAACACAACGTACAGGACAGTCATACATCCGCCAGCTGAGTCAGCAGTGTGTTTGACTGGGATTAGGGTGAAGCAGCACCACACAGGGCAGTCCACAGATGTTGGACTGCCCTGTGACCGTTCATTCAGCAGCAGCATGGTGGACACTGCATAACACTCTCTGGGTTAAGGCTTTGTTTAGGATGCCTTTCAGCTGTGGTATTTGTACATTTTCACAGCTGCCTGGATGTCACAAAACTGGCCACAGAAATCTAAAAACTGTTACAATTGATTGATTCACTCTTGATACTAACTATGCCCTAAAGGAGAGGACACATAACACCTATTTAAAATATAATAATAACATAATTATTATAAAATCACTTTATTATTTTGCACCAGCCGAGTTGTCTGACATGCTTTCAATAAATGAACCAGGATGGCCCTTCTGGTCCTCTGGCTTTTTGACAAGGCTGGAGAGGATCCGAGCAAGTGCTGATCTTTAGACTAGTGCTGGGCAACGATTACAATATGTAATCGCATGTTTTTTCTGCTCCTCCGTGAATCGCCACCTTATCGTGGTGAAGGAGTTTGAGTGGCTCAGTGATCCTGGGAGCTATGTTGTCCGGGGCATTAGCCCCTGGTAGGGTCTCCCAAGGCAAACAGGTTTCAGGGGAGAGCCCAGACTAAGAGCGGTTCAAAACAACCCCTATGATAGTTAGCCCACGGACTACAGCCACCTCGCCCGGACCAGGGAAACCGGGGCACCCTCCCGGAGCCAGACCCAGGAGGGGAGCTCGTAGGCGAGCATCTGGTGGCCGGGCCTTTGCCCATGGGGCCCGGTCGGGCTCAGCCCGAATAAACACCATGGAGCAGCCACCCTGTGGACCCACCACCCGCAGGGACAAGCATCGGGGTCGGGTGCTATGCAGACCGGGCGGCGGGTCGGGCGGGAGGCCCGGGCATGCCGATCGCCGGCGGCATAGACTAGCTCTAGGGACGTGGAACGTCACCTCGCTAGCGGGGAAAGAGCCGGAGCTGGTGCAGGAGGTGGAGCGATACCAGCTAGAAATAGTTGGACTCACCTCCACACACAGCGTTGGCTCTGGAACCAAGCTCCTGGAGAGGGGTTGGACTTTGTCCTTTTCCGGAGTTGCCCAGGGTGAGAGGCGCCGGGCGGGAGTGGGGATACTCACGAGCCCCCGGCTGAGCGCCGCTGTGTTGGAGTTCTCCCCGGAGAGCGAGAGGGTCGCCTCCATGCGCCTACGGGTTGCGGGGAGCAAGGCTCTGACTGTGGTTTGTGCTTATGCACCAAACAGCAGTTCAGAGTATCCGGCCTTCTTGGAGTCGGTGGGAGGGGTCCTGGAAAGGGCGCCGCCTACCGACTCCATAGTTGTCCTGGGGGACTTCAACACTCACGTGGGCGATGACGGAGAAACCTGGCGGGGGGTGATTGGGAGGAACGGCTTGCCCGATCTGAACCCGAATGGTGTTTCGTTATTGGACTTCTGTGCTTGCCATGGTTTGGCCATAACAAACACTATGTTCGAACATAAGGTGGCTCATAAGTGTACCTGGTACCAGAACACCTTAGGCCGGAGATCAATGATCGACTTTGTAATCGTATCATTTGATCTGCGGCCGTATGTCTTGGACACTCGGGTGAAGAGAGGAGCAGAGCTGTCAACTGATCACCACCTGGTGGTGAGTTGGATCAGATGGCAGGGGAAC